CAATTCAAAATATGATATCATTCAATAATTTTATTAACTTGTCAAATATTTGAATCTCATTATCATCACATATTATTGTTGACTGTTGATAATATTTATTATCATCTTATGAGTCTCATTATTATATCACATCACCACGTATCATTGTTGACTAATAATAATAGTTATTAACATCTTATGAGTCTCATCATCATATCACCTTATCACATATCATTGTTGGTTGTTAGTAATATTTGTTATCACCTCATTATCATCATATCACTTCATCACATATCATTGTTGAATGTTAATAATAATTGTTATCATCTCATGGGTTTCATTATCATTTCATTTCATCACATATCAATATCTAAATAGAATTCTCCATATTAACAATTTTTCATATTAACACTAACATTATTAACCCCACTAACTATATATATGTAAATAATACATATTATTATTGTATATCGTCTCTTAGTTGAATGTATCCAACACGGACTTTTTCGGTCTTTATTTACATTTATGTTATTTAAATACCATTATATATATATATATATATGTAAATAATACATATTATTTTATTATTAATACTATCCCTTAGTCAAATATATAGTAAATACATTGGTGCAGACTTTTTTGGTCTTTATTTATATTTCAATCATTTAAATACCAATACTATATATATGTAAATAATACATATATTACAATTCTTTAGCCGAATGTATAGTAAATACATCGGCGCAGACTTTTTCCGGTCTTTATTTTACGTTTCAGTCATTTGAATACCAGTACCTTATATATATGTAAATAATACATACTATTATATATCTATCGTCCTTTAGCCAAATGTACGGTAAATACACTGGTACAGACTTTTTCAGTCTTTTATTTATATTTCCAGCACTATATATATAATATATTATATTATTGTCCCTAGCAGAGTATATAGTAAATATATCATTGCTCAAATTTCTAACAAACTAACATAAACTTGTACTATATTATCCATACATTAGGTTAGGTATATTAATACCATAACCATTCACTCACCATCAGGTCCGCAAATAAATTAATAAATATACGATCCGAACATTTTCACCCATACACTGGGTTATTTATATTAATACTAATAACCACCCACTCGCCACCAAGCTCACAAGCAAATTAATAATAACAATAAACACCGACTTGCAATTAGGCCCACAGGCAAATTAATAAAGATCACATTAACAATATCGAAAGGCGATAACTTCCCTACTCGTAATAGAAAATCTCCGAACGCATCTCTGATTCACACAGACCATTAACGAGAGTCGTTAAAATAAAACAGACCTCACATTGGTAAATAGAAAATACAAAGTACAAGTTCATTAAAAATCTATTTTTTAGGTGTCTTCACACCCACTCTATGTTAGGTGACAACTCTAAGTAAATCTTTCAAGGGTCTGAATAAAGCAATAAAATTAAATATCATTTCAAAGGTTACTATTAAAATTTGAAATTTTTTCAATAATTATTAAAAATGAAAGTTCGTGTGTGAAATTGCCCTGTGAAACAACCACCACTAGCCTCCTTCCCCATTCCCTCTCACTTCCATCTTACATCTACGATCAACTACTAACTCACTATGAATGGTTTGACAACGGGTCATATAGCAATTCTAGTTTAGACCCGACCTAATTTATATTATGGACATGGGTTTCATGGTTTCGTATTGTTGTTCACGTCTTACTTCCCTTATATTTCCTTAATTTTGGCTATTAAGTTTGTTTTGGTTGCGTTTGGAACAAGTTCGTAGCTTAGTTTTCAAACTTTTGTTGCCCAGAATTTTACTCATCGCTCGAGTGTTACTTCTTGCGCTCGAGCGGTCTTTGTGAACTCTCAGTACTTTTGCAGGCCTGCAAAACTACTGGAAGAGTGTATTCTATGCTCGAGTGGTGTTTCCTACGCTCGAGCAGTCGTGCACTCAAGTGTGCATTCTTGTGCTCAAGCGATGTTCTTCTGTCTGTAAAACTGCTGGGAGTGTGTAATCTATGCTCGAGTGTCACTTTTTGCGCTCGAGCGGAACAACTTAGTATGTCTGGACACTTGATCGTCACTTCTTGCGCTCGAGCGGACTGTGTGTATTTCAGTCCGTAAAAGTGACATTTTACATCACTTTTTCATTTCATTCTCTCTCTAAGCATTTCAAAAACCCTAGATCTGGAGCTTCTCTCTCTAAAACTCCCTCTCTCTCTCTCTCTCTCTCTAAATTTTCACCTACATTTAGTGATTTCTCTACCCGCGTGCCTTTGTTAAAAAGGTAGAGCATCTTAAGGGCTATGTTTTCATCCGAATAGAGTTGGGTTTTGACTTCATCTGAGTTTCTTCCTTGCTTTGCTCATCTTCTAGCTTTGAGGTAGGGATTTTCTACATTATTCTATGGTTTTAACTTGGCAATTTGTTTTGTATAAACAATTTTGTGATTTAGAGAGATTTTGAACAAACCTAGAGTTTTGGTTTACAAATGGATGTGTTGGAAATGGTTATGCGAGTGAATATGAGGTTGTGTTGTAATAAAATTATTGATTTTGATACTTGGGTTGGATTTTGAAAGGAAATGAAGTTTGCCTAAAAAGTCTCAAATATTTATTTTGTATAAATAAAATGGAATTGGTATTGAAAATGTGAAATTGGATGGATGTTGATATGGGTGGTAGAGTTGGTTATGTATAACCACTCACACTTTGAAATTTAGCTAATTTATCTGTCTTGGAGATTGTATATCTGTTAAGAAATATCTGTTTTGGGCTATCGGTGGAGGATAGAAGTGATTGTTGTAGAAATTGCCTAAGAATTAGATGAATTGAAGCTAATTTCTCATTCACAACTAGGATCATTAGCAAAGACAAATGCATCGTAGGATAAGGGGGCACATGTCCCTCCTCAAATTTTTATAATTATTAATATTCATATATTTGCATAGTGGTTTTTGTTTAATTCTTGAAAATTATAATTGCATCAATTAATATATTAATTAGGTGGGAGATGGTAGGAGGAGGGTGGAAACCGGGGCTATATGGCAAGGGTAAGCATTCGCAGAGCCATGATGGAGGCCGAGCTGGTACTCACACAATCTTTGTTGACAATATTCCCTCATCCTTGAGCTCGAAGGGGCTCAATGATCTGTTCAGGAAGTTTGGAATTGTTCGAGATGTATTCATTCCAAATAAGTTAAGGAAATCTACGCGGTCCAGGTTTGGCTTTGTCAGGTACGATTGTCCTGTAGCTGCTGAAGTGGCAATCCAAAAAGCTAATGGGCTGTGGTGTGACGATAAAGCCTTGAGAGTTAAGAAAGCAGAGTTTGAAAAGAAAGCAGTAGGTGGCAGAGGACGTCAAGAAGGGCAACCAGGGAATGGATCTGGAAGAGAGGAGGGAGGATCTCGGGGGCAAAAGGGCCAAAAAGCTCTGCCAAACATAGGCTATCGGTCATATGCAGAAGCAGTGCAGCTGGGAGATAGCAAGAAAAGTGTGGGTCCATCGGTGGTAGCCCATGAGGCAGGGAATGGATGGCTATATGATAGCCTTATTGTTAAGTTGAAAAGCTATTACTCATTTTCAAACTTCCGAAAAGCAGTCATGGAAAAAGGATCAGCAGAAATTCTGGTTAGGAGGGGGGGAGGAAGAATGACAGTGGTGTCATTTAAATCATCTGAAGATATGAAGGAAAATGCATCAATATTAAAGGACTGCTTGCATGAATGGTGCGAATCAGTTTCAGAATGGAAGAAGTTCGCGCACATAGAGCAAGAACGTGGAGTTTGGTTGAGCTGTTATGGAGTTCCACTTAATCTATGGAGTTCAGACACCTTTAACAAGATTGGGAGTTTGTGGGGGGAGGTAATCAGGTTGGATGAGGAGACAACCAACCAGTTATCTTTCAAATGTGGCAGAATTAAAATTGTTACCTCTTGTATGGGGTATATAAATTCAGTTGTTCAGGTGAGGTGTTCTGGAAGAAATTATCCAGTTAGAGTTTGTGAGGAACAAGTTAGGGTAACTAAAACTATCACAGAAGCCTGTAAGTGCTCTCTTCATGAAAGATGTAGCTCAAACAATATGGAGAACATGTATGGCAGCAATGGTGTACCAGTAGCAGAGGAGGTGGCTGAGGTGGAAGGAGAGTTGCAAGTTGCAGTGGCAGATATTGATGAGCAGACTGTCCAGAAGAGGAATGGCATGGCAGCTTTGCAGAAGGATGTTGGGACGCATGGCATACAAGGGTCAGGTGAGTGGGAGGTGGACGATTCATCCCAGTCGCTAGTGAGAGAAACAATCATTCCAAGTATGGGGAATGTAAAAGTGGCAGAAGCATGCAACAGTGGAAAAGATATTGGTATTGCAACGGTAAATAAGAGGGGGAGTAATGAGAGGGAGGGAGAGGATGAGGAAATTGTGACTCCTGGGTTTATGAAAAGTATAAGTGGATCTGGACTTGAGAGGCCTGGGATTCTTGCTAGAGGAGGCCCAAAATAACAAGGTTGGGTCTAGGCCCAACCCAGAGGGTGTGAGTGTGGGCTTAATGGATATAGGCCAGACTGAGGAACAGAATGTGGATCGGAGAGTGATGAAACCTCAACATAGCAAGCTAGTAGGGAAGGAGAAAGCCCCTGCGCCCAGGTTGAAGGGAGAGAGTGGTAAGTTAGCTCGGAAAGAGGGAAAGGGAGGTCGAATTGGCGGATCATCTATAGGAGTGTGGCATAAAGGACCTGCATTCAGAGTTGCTGCGGCTGTTTTATCTCGGTCAAGTTCGGCTTGTGTGGCAGAGAAGGGAGAAGACCAAGTCCTTCAGGAAGCCCGAAAGACAGTGGAGATGGGTAAATCTTTTGGCATCAGTTTTAAAGGGAAGGAAAATGAAGTAGTCCACAGAATTATGGAGCTGGAAAAAAATGATGTGGAGAGGGCAGCTAAAATGGATGAAACTGTCTTAGTTTAGACGGTTCTCATGGGTGATTTAGGTGTTTCTTTTGAGGTTTTTAATGAAGTTGCTGTCTTGGAATATTAGGGGGATTGGAAGGCCGGAAAAGAGAAGAAGAATCAGGTCTCTACTCAAAGAGAGAAAAATTGATTTTGCCTTTTTTCAAGAGACTAAGAAAGAAAGTATGTCAGATGATTTGGTTCGGTCGATTTGGCATGTTGATGAATTGGAATATATGTTTGTTGATGCGGATGGTTCGGCCGGTGGGCTGCTGTGCGTGTGGAAGCCCTCAGTGTTCTCATTATCTCAGTGTTGTGGTTCAAGAAGGTTTCTCCTACTGTCAGGTACACTACTTCCAGATTTTAGGTGTGTTTTGGTTAATGTTTATGCGCCTAATGATGCAGTAAGTAGGAGGCAAGTGTGGAAAGTTATTACTAGTCTCAATCTAGGATTTCCAGAACCTTGGTGTGTAGGAGGGGATTTTAATGAAATTAGAGATTTAGGGGACAGAAGAGGGTGTTTAAGAAGGGATAAAGGGATGGTAGAGTTTAACGAATTTATTGAAGGGTTAGCCTTGTATGATGTCCCAATGCATGGCAGGCAATTTTCTTGGAGTAATTCAGAAGATGGGGGTAATTGGAGTAGAATTGACAGAGTTCTGCTAGCGCCTGAGTGGTTGAGTAGGTTTAATTTTAAGCTGTGGGGCCTTCCAAGGGGTGTGTCTGACCATTGTCCATTCGTATTGATGGAGGATGAGAGGGACTGGGGGCCAAAGCCATTTAGGTTCTTAAATGTTTGGTTGTTACATCCTAATTTTTTAGATGTGGTCAAGCAAATATGGGAGACTTCAAATGTCTCTGGGTGGGCAGGATTTGTCATCGCTACAAAACTTAGATATCTCAAGATGGAATTGAAAAAGTGGAATGATGAAGTGTTTGACAATATTTCCTACTCCCTCAAAAAAGCAGAGGTGGAGCTTCATGAGCTTGATCTGGTGGCTGAGGCTAGAGATTTGTCAGAGGCTGAGATTGTCAGACGAAGGGAGGTCAAGAAGGAGGTGTGGTCTCTTAGGAAGAGGGATGAGTGGCTTTGGCTTCAGAAATCAAGACTAGACTGGAGCTTGAAGGGGGATAAGAATACAAGGTATTTCCATATCATTGCTTCCTCTAGACAGAATCGAAATTTGCTGAACTCAATTACAGTGGAAGGGGTACTCTTCGAGGATCCCATTTTGGTGAAGCAGGAGGTGTTAAAGCATTTTAAAGGCTTGTTCTCTGAAAATTGGAGGAATAGGCCAAAGTTGATGGGTCAATTTAAATCTATTGGTCAGAATCCAGTGGCTGGAATCCTGGAAGCAGATTTTACTGAAGATGAGGTGTGGAGTGCTATTAGGAGTTGTGATGGGAATAAGTCTCTCGGTCCTGATGGGTTTAATCTGATGTTCTTTCAGAAGTGCTGGGATTGTGTGAAGTCTGATGTCCTTCTATTTTTCAAAGAAGTGGAGAAAAAACTTGAATAAGATCTGGCGAATTATACCATCTGCGGTTTTGTGGTCGTTATGGAAATTCAGGAATGAGAAACTATTCTGTGATAGCAAAATGCACTTGGAGGAGCTGTGTGAGTTAATCAAGACGAGGATTGCATTGTGGGCCAAATTGTACACTCAGGATTGCTGTTACTCAGTGCAGCAGATTATCTGCAACATTCAGGAGATTCGGGTTGGAAATGGTTAGTATGCTGGTATGCTGCTGGTGGTTTGATCTGTATGCTACCTGCCTGCTCTGTTTAGAAGGTCTGCTGGCTGACCTGATGCTGTGGTTCTTCTAGCTGTGATCTGAGTGGCTGTGGTCTGAAAGGACTGGTTCGAGAGCCTAGTCTGTGCCTTGAAGCAAGGGTGTGTGGCAGCTGCAGGTTGGCGCACTGTGTTCTGCTGGTGGTGTTATAGGTGAAGTACGAATTATGGAAGCCTGTTACTATGCTGTGTGGGGACAGGTTTCTAGCAAGAAGATATGTTGCTGGTAGGCTGCTGGTATGTGGCCTATATGATGCTGTTGGTCTGGCTGTAGGGGTTGGTTGTAGGTGTATCTGGAGTCACAATTGGTTGTAGTATTTCAGGATTCCCTTATCCTGCTCTGTCTTTTGCTATTCCTTTTATCTTTCTCTTTGTTTCCTTTATTGGTTCCTCACCAATTTAGGGTCTTGTGCTTTTTGCTCTTCTCTCTTTGTTGATGTAAGTTGTGTATGTTATACTTTCTTCATCAATAAAGTGGGCTTTTGTTGATCAAAAAAAAATATATATATATTAATTAGTATATTAATAGATGATATAATATAATTTTAGATGTTTTAAATTTTTATAGTTTGTATATAATGGATGAGGTCTATAATTTTGAAGTGGCAATATCATAATATACATTGGTACACTAATTAGTATACCAATTAGTACATGTAGCACTACTGTTTTCATAAAGGGTCTTATTTTTTTATTAGTGGCATAACAACTCCAAACACATAAATGACTTTTTCTCTCTTTTTCATTTTATTCTATTTTTGTTTTTTCTTTACAAATTTAATTTTTATCCTCCAACATATTTCATTTATTTATTTTTGAAACGACCTTCTTTTTTTCTTATTGAGCAAATTGTAAATGTGGTCCTTGTAGGTCACCTATCGTGTCAATTTAATCCTGTCTTTACAATTTAATCAATTTTGTAATTTAAGTTTTAAATTATGTCAATTTAGTTCAATTGTTAACACCTACTAATAAATTAATGAAAATTAAGAAATGAATGGTCCATTCACTCTTCTTAAAATAATTGAGTGGTTGACATAGAATTTGGAATGGTCCATTCACTTTTGAATGGATCATTTTACTTTGATTTTAGTCAAATTTTCAAAAGAGGAGTTATCAATTTTACTAAATTAACCCAATATAAAAACTCTAAGAATTAAATTAATGCATTTAAAATTATAGTGATCAAAATAATAATTAAACAAATTATATATGTGGATTATGTGCATAATTTGCCTAACCTTATTTTTGCTAAATACTTGTGTTTTGTGATTAATATTTATGTTTTGTGCTTAGCGTTAACTCAAAAACTTTGTATTATATTATTGTTAAACCATGCATTCCTTAGGATTGAGCTCTAATAAGATCATGGGTTAAATTTCCCTTAGGGGGGTTGAATTAAGAGAGTGCAAGCACTTAGGTGCTTTGCCAATGGTGGAGAAATTTTCTCCCATAGATATTAATCTAACAACTAACAATTAACATTTGCCGATCAACAAAAATATTATTGCTGCCAATTATGGTATTGTGATTAATAAGTGTCCTTCCTAAAGTAATTTCCTAACTCTGTCACGGTATTGCCAATAGGCTATGATCATGACCAATCAATGCTATAATCTCCACTGCCAGTCGCATTTCACTACCAGTAGCGTTTTGAGGCACTCGTTACAAGTTGTTTGATGCAATGTTGGGTTGCATTAATCTAGTTTTGATGCACACTAATTTGAGGTGAGGTTAGGTGGGTGGGCACGTATAAATATTAATAAGTAAAATTATAAATATTTTTATTAATATATAATCATTTAAAAAAATTACCACCGAATGGTAATTTCCCCTATAAGTATTTGGCACTGGTCGTTGGAGTGCCTATGAACTGTTTGATAAAAGTTTCACGTTGGTTTCAAAGAAAATAGTTGATGACATATGTTGGTGATAACAATAAGCATAGTTGATAATGTGCTTTGACCTTTTCCTATGCAATTTAAGTAATTTAAACTTAAATTTAACCCCTTCAATTAATCCTGCCAATTTGGCTATTGTATTATTTTATATTTTGAAATTTAAGTCAAATTAATATATTGCACATTATGATTAATAATTATCACATGCTATTTTGATTCTCTCTTTCTTCTTTTTTTGTTTTTGTTTTTTTTTTTTTTGTTTTTGTTTTTGCAATATCTAGAAATTTCCCCAAGCATGATTGAGTTTTCAGTGGACTCAACGTACTTATGTGACAAGTAATTGAAGGTTTGTTTTCCTGATTAACTAGAATTTAGAAAATAATATATATAATTAATTCAACGTTTGCATAGTCACTTAAATAAAGGGAAAAATGTGTTCAAATAGCCCTAAACGATTTTCATTATAATTAATTAAACTTAACAACTAATTCACTTAACTTATACATCATTAGGAGCTATTGGTAATGTTGCTTGTATGAATGAAACCTCACAAGCAGAGGCATCGCCAGTGTTACACCCCCTTTAAAGTCTAAATTAAGACTTTTGGATTGACCCTATTTGACGTTCCACATGCATATGGGTCATTCAAATGACAATTGAGGTGAAAACCAACTCTCGGCATTTGGTGCCGTTAATTTATTATTTTTTAGTTCAATTTAATCTTATTTATTTGATTGATAATAACTACGCAAAATGACCTAACAATAAAAAATTTACTCATTCAATTTACACTTTTCTTTTTTTTTTTTGGACCATGTTGAATGAAATAACACTAACAAAATTAAAATAATCAAACAATAAAGTTTTAAAAAGATGGACACAAAATCAACATTATAAAAAAATAGTAAATGAAAAGAAAATTATTTTTTTATAAAAAATGTGTCACCTATCATTTTAGATTATTGAGTCTAATTTGAAATTTTAAAATTTTATTGCCGCCTTCCTTGGCGCACTCTTTAAGCTATCTCCTTGGTGCACTCCCTAAGACGCCTTCTTAGCGCATTTTGTTTCTTTCCAAGCCACCTTCTGGCGCACATGATTCATTTCCAAGTCGTCGTTCTCTGGTGCACATAGTTCATTTGTTGTCATCACCGTTCAGTACTACGTCATAAGTTACGAGTGTACCACGTTGGTGATTCAACACATGTTCTTCTTTTACAACGGTCTAACATGACCATAAACTATCTCCCAACATTAGCTCCGGCCTCTAATCTATCTCAAGCGCCTATGTACTCTCATCTGGACTTTGTAATCTATTTGTCTCGGATCTATTCATGTTTTATTTTAGTTTTAGTTATATTTCATATTTTAATTTCTCTCTCCGATCTCAAATTGGTATCCCTACTTGAGTTTGAGAAGGGTATTAAATATAATAACTATATATTCTGTCTATCATACATATCATATTATATTCATTTCCATACTTAGAATTGTTATATTTAGGTTTGTTTAATGTTATAACATTCAATATAGTACAGATCTCTCTCTCTCTCTCTCCCTTCTAGATATTGTAACACCATTTATCACATTAATTTGTAAGAAGAAATTGTTTATATATGATTTTCCATTTCATCAAATAATGTATATCACTCATGCTTTATTGCACGTCTAGTTCACAATATGGCTATTCAAAAAAAAAAGAAAAAAAGAAAAAAAATTGTATTAGCAAGAAAATAAAAAACTAAATTCACATCGTATTATTTGACCTAGTTCTATGCTAAACTAACCCAGTTTAATTAGAAAAACATGAAAATTGTTTCGTATTATTGCATCTACAAATAGTGTGCCAATAACCGCGATTTGAACCAAACTAAACTAATTTTTAAGATCACTTTATATATTCTTACAAATAGGACAAATTATCTCATCTTTCAATAACACCACTTGACTATCTACCAATCGATAATATTGCATATTTTATTTATTTAGAACCACCAAAACACTTCTGACCTATTTGGAATTAGTGGAATAAATAATTCCGTCTTATCCATATTTATTTAGCAATGAATATGTTTTGTTTTGCATTAATAATTGTAAAATTAAAAAATTTTTGCTAATTTTGATAAGTGAAGTATCAATCAAAATTTAATCTAAATAACAAAAATTACTTGTGAGATCTCATATTATCTTCAGATCTTATAGGAGATCAATATAGTTTATTTTTCAATTTACTAGATTATGTCAACTGACAAAATGATGTAAAAGGTTGTCTAATGTAACAAATTGTCTTCAATTAGTTATGTAGTATAACTTTTTTTTTTTTTTTGGCACACACCTTGGCCCCCCTTAACTTCTAACTCTTGAATAATTCATGCAATACTCTATTATATTGTTCTCTCTTGAGAATACTATTAGAATAACAGTAAATATTGAAGTATAAAATTCTCAATCTTTGTTAAAAAGTTGATAGTTTGATAACAACGCTTAACATAAATCTAGCATTAGGTAACAAATCTATTATTAAATTGAACTCCCTCATTGTATAGTGCTCATGATTTACAATGAAGCCGGCCATCACTTTATTTATTTATTTATTTTGGTGTTGCACCCAATGATCAAACTTGGTTAATTAACTTCACTTTTGTGTCTTATTAATCAGCCCTTTTACAACATTTTCTCTATAAATATGATCATTTTAACAAAGCCAGAGCCATAAGAAAGAAAGTAACTTAAGTTAGGCAAAAACAAACACATTAAATAAACATGGCTAAGGCAAACAAGACAACAACCTTCTTGTTTAACTTGCTTCTGGCCATCTCTATTTTT